ACAGGGGGCACTATCACCACAGTTATTTTATTTTACAATTTTCTTATGTGAAAGTATATACAACTAATATCAAATTGTAATCTAAAAAGACGCTTCCTGGATAGAAAATATCATGCCCACTGCAAAACAATTATTGATTATTTCGGAGCTACGTGAACACGGCCGTGGCAACGCTGAGACGCGCAGCGACTCACTCACGCACACTAGTAGGCTCACGAACGTGCGTCCGTTTAAAAGGCGATGCGGATTCGCTAATTTTTAAATAATAATAACTACTTTGTGAGGCGTGACTCGAAAAAATGATTCGGGACTCTTCGACTCAGTTTTTCATGAGAAATATCACTATATAAATGGTGGGCGCGAATTAGAATACACCCTGTATACATTTTTCAAAAATAAAACATTTTGAATATAAGTTCATTTTGAGTATGAGCTAACAATTTCGAAAATTTGGTAATTATGTAGAATAGGGTGTTCGGGAAGCTTCGAGGGTTTCGCTGGACGAGAAGTATTTTAGGGATGAGATCCACGAATTTTATTGACAATGTATATTTGGCACTACTTTACAACCACAATAAATTACAGATGAGAATTTCGCGACACTGTTGCCTTTAGTTCACCGAGAACGAGAAATCGGCTCGTAATTCGCACGAGAAAGATGGACGTGGTGTCGCAACGGAAAACAGAGGAGAAAAGGCTCCGCGGTTCCGTCGGTTGCCGCTTTTATGATGAAGCAGGCTCCTTTGTTTCTCCGACGATCACCAATGATTTGTCACCAATTCGAACATTTTGAGGTGACCTCCGGGCTCCTGGCGTGATTGGTAGTCACAGGGCCCGGGAAGACACCTCGCGCATTGGACATGCGCGGAGCGCGCGTTCGCGTAGCTCATTGGAGATCGGCGGACGGAACGACGGATCACGCACGGCAACGTATACAGAATAACACAGAATTATATTTTGCTGACATGGGCCTTTGTGTAGGGTCACGGTGAGTTGGTTGTCGATAAAAACACTCACCCGTCCGCAAGAGTGTTCTAGACATCTAGACCATTACGCTGTAACGATGCACCCCGATAAACGCATCGTTCCCGGCAAGCGCCGGATGCCGCCGAATACCGGGCGAAGGGTGAGCGCACGGGGCGCTCACCGCGTAAGCACATCACACGACGCGCTCGCGGGCGAACCGATCGCCCGCGGGACCAACCGAGCACGCCCGAACCGGCGAGACACACGTGGCGCGCTGTCACCCGGCCGCGCAAGCGCGCAAACACGCTACCCCGACCTGTCTACCCCTACCCGCCGAAAATTGCTAAAAAGCAATAACAATTGGGGGTAGACGGGTATAAAAGACGGCACCGGAGCCGAAAAAGACAGATTCCGCGACCGCCT